CCCCAAAACCCCAAAACCCCAAAACCCCAAAACCCCTAAAGTTTTCCTAAAATTGAAACTCGGATTCACAATTACTTTTTTATCTAATCAAAATTAATTAAACTACGTAATAAATGCTACAATTTATGGGTTGTGAAGTCATCATCCCAGAAAGGAGGCTCTTGTCTCAAAACTAAACGATTCATCCCATATCTTAACCCAAATAGGCCAAATATAGCCCTTAAACAAACATAAACATCTTCTAGACAAAATATTTTAAGAACAAATCTGATTATTTATTTGCCGATTTCCCGATAGATTACTTCCAACAAGACTCTATCATTAGGCTTGATGCCAGTCCTTTTGCTGACAATGTTAAATAAAGTCTTTGGGACAACCTTCCACTCAAAATATATCCAATAGCTCAGCATATTTGTCATCAAAATATAGATAATCAGGCCCCAATTTTTAGGCACTGAGGCGATCTGATGGTCATCTATTATCTTCAAGGACGACTCAAAAGCTCTAGCAAATACGTAATAGATGAGCAATTTTCTTCGATCGTCTGAACTATCCAAAATAGCTGAAAGAGATCACACGAAAGAAGCAATTATTGAGTTGAGCTTATCGTCCTTCTTCCTTATTTTCCTTAGAGTGCACAATGTGACCTTGAAAAGGGTAGGTAGGAGCCCAATAAAACCTGCAAATCTTGCTGTATCCCATGAAACAATGTTCCTAAATGCCTTGAAGAAGCTCTTGGTCTTTACAGCCCCAAAAAGAACGCTTAAGCATCCTTTGACAGCAAGGCCAGCTATTGAAGCTTTTATAAGTGTTTTGGCACTGTTTTCCATACAGGAGCCCTCATGCTTACAAAAGCGTGTTTTTCCAATGAATATGTCAGTAAAGTGCTTGCTAAAAGGGGTTCCAGAGTCATCCTTAGTCTCAGACATCGCGTCATGATATTTTCAGTCTTTATTGGTACTTAGCATTTTATCTGTTAATTTTAATAAATGCGTTTATGCTCCAATCTCCTATATATGCATTGGGGTTTTGGGGTTTTGGGGTTTTGGGGTTTTGGGG